GCTGCCTATCTGGCACTTTTGACTGCAGACTTATGTGAATGTTTACAGACATGGGGCAAGTTCTTCTCTCCCTTATACTCATAAACAAACTGGTTCTCTATATGCTTTTCAGCTATAAACTACAACTTGATGGTGCTTATCTTATCCTGTGAATATAAGTGGGAGCAGAATTTGGACCATGTATTTTTTTAGTATTTTTCCTTGGAAAACAGACATGATTTTAAAGGCATATAGCTAAATTAACTGTTACAATGCAGCATATAGGAAGGTCTTGCTTTGTTAGTGAAATTGAGTTGTGCACTCTTCTAATAATGTTAGTATCTGTGGCAATGTGTAACACACCATTGAATATCATCTATTTAAGATATGCTCTTGATCATGGTCTAGAGACTAGAGATGAATGATATTCAATCATGTGATTAAATTAAAATGTAGAGATACTACACTGTAGAAATGTTCTGCACCTAGAGTTTTACTTTTTTAAAGATTGATTCTGCTGGGAGATGTTGCTAATGTATTTTCTTTCAAGATGTGAACAAAGTTTTTTAGAACATTAATGGAAATTACTGTATTGGTTTTTAACATAATTTTTTTAAATAAAAAATTTACAGTCATGGCAAAAAGGCTTTGCTGAATATTTGCATATTTACCTAAAATATGATGAATAAACTTGTTTTTACTAAGATACTTTCACTGCTTGATCTTGCTTATGCTGTTTCTTTTTGATGCAGAATTCTTTCCAAAACTGTAAAATTGACTTCCTGAGGAGTGAGATTAGAAATATCCTATATAATTTTTAGATGAAATACTTAAATTCTTTGACATTTTAATAATCAGACTTACATATTATTATCAATTGAAAAAAAATACTGTGTTCTTACATCTTTTTATTTTGTTAAACCTGTTAAATTCTCATGATTCTCCACTCTGAACTGCTCTTAAAATTTGTATCTTTGATATTGATATCTTGACTTAAGAAATCTGTGGAGGACATCTTTCATTTTGCTCTGCTTGTCATTCTTTCCATAACTTGTTCTTTGTAGATTTGCAGATCAGTTGGAGACAATAAAGTTACCTTATCATGAGAAAATTGGCTTTTCTCCCCTAGATGTGAATGTAAAGCAGTTCCAAGTCAGTAAGTGTTTTGTAACCTTACTGAGGTGCTGAGTCTGACATCCTATTTTAATCCTAGTTTCCCTGCCAAGCAATCAAAGTTTGAAATAATTCACGTCACCCTGTAGTCAAAAGCAAGTAATACTGCTTTGTCAGAAAGTAAGTACTTTGTGCTTCTGTTTCTAAAATTATCTGTTGAATAGTCATGGGGTTTGGGGTTCCTGTCTGAGCACTGGACAATGCAGGGATGCCAAAGAGACTCAAGCCTTGTTTCTCCAAATGAAAACAGGTGAGAAGGAGTGAAATCCACAGTATTAAATGCTCTTCTCCTGAAGCAATGTAGTTTCTGGGTGGTGTACAGCCACTTTACCAGAGAAGAGCGTTTGACGCTCCAGTCAGTGTTAGACAAATCAATAGGTTAAGTGTTCACTTGTAAAGTTCTTATGTCTGGAATGGGCTCTCTGGTTCTTACTGACTCTTGCTTAATACTGAGCTGGGTTTTGTAAATGGAACTCTCCAGTGGTTAGAACTAAAATTCATTTTTTAAAATATTTTTCCTGATGTAAAATTGTTTTCTATTAATTTTTTTCCTCTTCAGGAATAAAGTCTGTGTTCTGCACTGCAGCAAACTGCTGTGACCCCGCCTTGGAATTTCTGAAGGGAGTGATTTGTCCTGAGCTCTTTCACACTTATTTGAGCATCATTTTTAGACAGCCAAGGAAATGTCTACTGCTGAGGCAAACCACCTCAAACTGAGCCTGTGCCAGGAAAGGGCTCTTGCTGTATGACTTTAATTCTGGACGAACTGATTTTTTTCAGTGTTCAAGTTGCCTACTATTGCTCTATTTTGCATGTACTGATGGACTGCAAAGATAAGATGTAGTGAAGTGTTCCTTGAAATAAAACCTTTTTTGCAACAGCTAAGAACATACCTTTGCAAACAAGTTTCAATGTTTCTTTCAAGTGCTTTAATTGGAGCTACAGGGAATAGGAGACAAACAGAGTAATTTTCTGTCCTTTTCCTCTAGTTTGCAAATGAGTATTGGGAGTTTGCCTGGGCCTGGAAGGAAACTTGCCATGGTATGAATGTTCTGAGTTTCTTGCAAATTGCCTTCCTTTCTGTATTGGTAGAGGAGCAATAACTTTGACTCTCTCTCATATTTACTCTAGTGGGCAAAGGGGGGCATTCTGTCATCTCCAGATCTTCAGCTGTAGGAAGCTGATGCCGTTTCCATGAGGAGGAGCAGCAATATGGGGATGTTCCTACAAGCAAAAGGACAGTACTGTTAATCTGCTCTTTCCTGTCCTGTCTCCTTAATTTTGACCTGGGGAAAAGGAATGCTGAGCCTGAAGCAAGTAGGCAGAACTCTGGGCCAGGAAAAGAGAAAAAAAAAGCTGAGAAATCAATAGGGACTGGCCAAAGCCCAGTGTGTGGGAAGAAAGTAGTGTGGGCCTACAAAGGTCAGAAAAAGACAAATTTAAACCTACAGTTTTGCTAATCTCATGTGGGGGCTGCCTGCTGATTTTTTTTGTATTTTTGGGATTGGCACTGTTTACAAATGGCTGTAGATTTAAGTGTCTACAACTGGAGGGTGAGGTAAGTGGGAGAAAGGTGACTGTAAAGGACTGGTGCCATTTGTAAATGTAACAGTTGGTGCTGAGGAATGTTGGAGAATGGTGGGCACGTGATTGTGCCTGACCTGAGCACTTGTGCTGCTTTTGGAATAGAAGTTGAAGGCTTTAGCTATATCACAAATAAAAAACTCTGCAGAAGTAGCTGAACTGCAGGCAGCCCAAACCACAGGCATCTGATGTTGCTTCTGTCAGTAAGTTCTGCTGAAGAAGCTTTGAGCTCAGCCTTTGTGGCTGTGCTTTGTGTCACAGGAGTGCACCAGGCTCTTCAGCACCAGTGAACTTGCAGCCTGTAAACTGCTTTGCCCCAGAGTTCATGTGTTTTAGTCTCTGAGTGTTCTATAGCACTCTGGGACATGAGTTATCTACAAGCCCCAGTATAACCCTGAGGAGGAAGCATTAAGATTGCCTTGACTTTGATTTCAACATTTTGGAAAGGGGATAAAAGTACAGCTTAAGTTAAAATGAAAAAAACTAATATTGTGATGTTCCTGACCATAAACAAAAAACACCATCTGCTTTACTCGCCTATATTTACAGTCACCTCAGTGAATTGTCAATAAACAGGGAGCAATCATGTCTGTTAACTTTTAGTATGGGTTGCTCATTTATCTGATGGTATGAGCTGTTTAAATTGTGGCATTCTAATGGTTCAGAATTAAGCTATTTTAAGTAACTTCGGTTTTGCTCTAAAATGGAAAAAAAAAAAAAGTGGGATAGTTTTGGATATTATGTTTTTGCTTCTGAAATAATTAAATCACTTTTCTCTTGTCTCTGTTCATACATGCTACCCTGCTAGTAAGGGCCCATCCTGAAGAGGTGTGATCATATAGCTCAGTGTTTAGAAATCAAATGATAAGGAAAATGCTACAAATGGATTAAAATGAATATTATTACATGTTTGGGAGCATATGCATGTCAATCCTGATTGTTCAAGATATGCCTATGGCTTTCAATGGGATTTAAAATGTCAGTTTAGGGGTGTTGTTTCCTCTGTGAGACTGAAAAAGGATTCTCTGGGGAACAGTCAGCTTTGAATGACCCATCTGGGGCCAGGGTGATTATTGGTAGGGAGGAAGATGGGTGAAATGAAGCTAGAGCCAGATCTTCACAGATATTCTAGATAACAGATGCCCACAAAAAACAGCCCTGTAATTAGTGCAGCTGTATATCAAACTCCTAAATTACATATAAAAACACCTCTCATATTTTATTCAAATAACAAGCAAACAGCCTTGTCCTTTGAGAGGGTTGTCCTCTGCTACTACAGCCTTCAGAAATGGTTTAGTCTGAAATGTTGTGCTTAGTTTGATTGTCAAAATAATTTGTGAAAAATACTCTTGGGGGACAATTTTAGGGCTTAGGAGCTGAAATGCTTCTACTGTGGTTTTGAGGTTATCCAGCTCAACAGGGCTCAGCCTGTACTGAAGGACAGTGTGAAGGGTGTGATGAGGTTTCTACACAGTTTGGAGACCTCACCTGGAGTTTTTGTTTATTTATTATGCTGGTGTTTGAGATCTGAACAGTAGATGAGCCCCAAAACAGCAGAGAAGCAGCAATATCTGCCTTCTGGCTTTATAGCATCATAGATTGGAAAAGATCTCTTAATATCGAGTCCAACCATTAACTCGGCGTGCTCCATCCGCCACTAAACTGCATCCTTATGTGCCACATCTACATGTTCTTTAAATGCCACCAGGGAGGGGGACCCTACCACTCCTCTGGGTAGCCTGTTCCAGTGTTTGGCAACTCTTCTGGTGAAGTAAGTTTTTCCTAATATGTAATCTAAGCCTCCCCTAGCACAACGTGAGGCCATTTATTATACTGTTGGTTGTTTCTTGATAGAAGAGACTAATCCTCACTTTGCTACAACCTCCTTTCAGGCAGGTGTAGAGAGTGTTAAGATCTCCCCCGAGCCTATTTTCTTCAGGCTATACCTCAGCTGCTCCTCACAGGACTCACTTTATCTTCCTGTCTTGTTTGTGGGTTTTTCAATCTCTGATGGCAGATTCATGCAAATTATTTCCAGTTTGTATTTAGTGGGGTCTAAGACCAGCTGGGCCAAGTACATGCCAGACAGAGGATGGCCACAAAATACCATCCAGTTACATCAGAGACACAAGACTTGGTGTTTGTAAACATCCTCTCCTCATCAGCGTAACCAACTCCCAGAAGACTCTTGTACAGGGGATTTCTCCTGTCATCCTGCCTCCCTCTTCAGCATTTTGTGTGAGCCCTGCAGCTTCAAGGTACACTGCTGTCTCATCTGTGAGCGGATCAGAACTTTCCTCTAAGGGGATGGATCCCCAGAGAGAGAGACCCAAGAAAATGAACACAGAAAATCTAATTGGTAAGCTTTGTTTGTGTGTGTGAGTGGGTCTTTTCTCAGTAATATTAAAAAGGTGCAGAACTAACCAAACAGAAAACATATGTTTGATCTGCATTTGATGTCTGACATGGACTGGAGATGAAAACTCAGAATCTGCCACTGTGACAGAGCATGTTGCCTCATGCTGCCCTGCCAGGATGCATCAGCATCTACTTTCTGACCCCATGGAAAAAAGACTGATTCAACTATTGATACACTTCTGTATGGAGGGATGGGCTGGAGAAAGAAAAATAGGATCTAGTTAGGGAAGGCAGAAGAATTTTTCAGCCTGTAGTAGAAAGCAGGAAGGTACATGGTGGTTTAAGAGGCTGAGTCTACTCCATCTTTTTTGTTGCTATAGGAGACTTGGGAGATTTTTGCCCACACTGCAATTTTAATTTGCTTTCCAAATGTGAAACTCACATCATGAGTTTGTTTACCAAATATGTTTGTGATGAATCCTAATGAATGTATCAAGAAAAAATGAAGTGAGTCTTATTCCAGCACTTGGAGCTTTTCCGCAACTGCTGAGTGATGAGCTCTCACGTTTTGTGGTGCATTGCAGCTCCTGCTTTGCTCTGGACTAAAGAGTCGAGTGAGGTTTTTGGTGATTATGACTATTATAATCCATGTACAGGGATAGCAAACCAAGGTCAGTGATGAATGAAGTTGTGGCTGGTTCTTCCCTATTGGTTTTTTTTCTAGATCCTTTCATTTGTTGTGTGGTTATATGGTTTGAAACTTCGGGGTAATCAGAGATATCTGTGGTGGTTTGGGGGAATTCAGAGTTTCATTCAGAGGCATATTTTCGTGTTCTCCTTTCCTAATTGTAACCTACATTATTACCTGGTATCAGGATCTGTAGGACAGTTCTTGTGGAGAAGGATTCAAATGTACTTTTTCAAGTTTTGGATGCATGCTTTTTGCCCACGATGGTTAGGGATAATATCTTGACCCCTAACTCTTCTCAGCTTCTTGAGTATCAGTCTGCTGAGTGCTGGTATTTTTCCCATCTATTCCCCATCTGTGGACTGTGTAATTCCCACCAGGAATCTTCACAGTGGGCTCAGGTGGATGGTAGATGATGCTACAACACAAAAATGCTTTTGAGGAGGTTCTTTAAAACAAATTTGTCACTGGAGAAAAAGATCTTCAGATATTTTCTATAAACTGGTCATTTATGTGAAATTAAGAGAGAGATTAAAATGTTGAGTTCTTCTGAACAAAACATCCCTTCATGATTAATTTACTCAGATTTCAGATTAAGAATTATGAATGATGCCTAATCTGTGACTTTCCTTGATCTTTTTCCACTTCACTAAAGGACACTAGACTGCTGGTACTTTAGGTACCTGTCATAGCCTGACACACCACTAGAATAATGTGAAGTACTCTGTATGGAGAACAGGTAGCCATGAAAGGGTTAAAGAGTTTCACACTAAGTACTAATAACCCTGTTTTTATACACACAGCCTTAAGGTTTGCACAGTAATTTGCTTAGGGAAGCTCCTCAAATCAATTTTAGCACTGATTGCAGAGTGCCTGATGATACCTGGTAAAACAACCAGGGATTTAAAACTGCTGTTTTTTGGGAAGGGTGAGGAGGAAAGCTGGGCTCTCAGTGCACCAGCTCTGTGCCCAGCTCTCAGGGAGACCTGAACCCAGGCCCTTCTGAATGCAAAGGTGTTTACATGTGAGTAATTAAATCTGCATCAGAGCCTCAGAAGTAGAGTGGGCAAAGCTGCAGGTAGCCAAGGGCTGGGGGTAACAGCCAGGTGTGCAGCAGCCACTGCCAGCTGGCACAGCCCAGCCATGCACAGGCACCCAGGAGAGGGGCAGGGGCTTCAGGAGGCTGTGTTGTGTGTCCTCCTTCCCCAGCATTGCTGGGAATGTTCTAGCAAACTTGTCAGTCCTGTTCAGCTGCTCTGCCAGCTTGTGCCTTACAGATCAGGGATCCTCATGCTGGTCCTGACAAGCTGATTTTATTCTCACACAGTACAAATGGAATTGTTACCTATTTGTCATTTCTGTCTGCATGTGAGATTTATTTAGTATCAGAAATTTCCAGTGCTGCCCTACACCTTCGGAATAACTTACATTACTACAGTCTTCAGGCAGTAAAATAATGAAATTAGTTTTATATTTGCTTTACTTCATTAGAATGTAATTTTGGGATGATTTGAGCTGAACGCATGGAGACAACTGCTTTAAATGCAGAAGCATCCATTTTGACAAGCACTAATTTTGAAGTTTATGGTCCAGTGAATGGACTGGTCCATGAATATTCCTCAAAATATTCATCAAAAGAAAGCAGGAGTTCCCCTCATTTACCTTGTTAATTGTTTCATACAAATTAAACTCTGCCCCACCTAACAGTTTCATACTCATGGTTACTCCACCCATTCATTTATTTCTCCTTCACAGCCCCCAGGTCTGGTAATATCTTTCATTTTCGTCTTTTTTCCTATTGCAAAAGGTATTTTCTGAACCTTTTCTAACTTTCTGTGCAGAAGGGCCATAGAGTTGAATGTTTGATTAGGTCTTTTATGGCTTTATTTGAGCGATGGGAGGAAGGAAGAGGGAGTGAGTTTCTGTGGACTTTATGCTCCCATATGATTGCACTGGGCTAGATGTACATCCCTGGGATAACTCCTCAATTCTACATTCATTGCTCTTCTTCCTTATATTTTTTATAGCTGACAGGCAGGAAGGAATTGGTGTCTGTGGCTGGATCCTGGTTTCCCTTTCATTCCTCCTGGTGCTTATTACCTTTCCTATTTCCATCTGGGCATGTATTAAGGTAAGCTAGCAGGATTTGAGGCACATGAAGAAAGCTCTACTGTCACTGCTGTTACTTTCTTACTGATTTGGTTAGACAAGGCACCTCACATTCATGTTTTGGGAATCATAAAGGTTTGTTGCAAAGATGTGCTCTGGAAATGAGATCCACACTGATCACAGAACACAAATGTTCTATGTTGCTATGGCTTCCTCACTTAATTTCTTACAGTCCCAACATTTACCATCAGTTAAACTTCCAGTTCAACATCAGCTGGATGACAGGCCTTCAGTAGTTGTGATGCACTAAGTGAAGTAGTTTAGATTACCTGAGGTGAGAGCCCCTTTGTCAACAACTCCTCTGAGTGTGCTGGTGATGTTGAGAGAGTTCTGGGGTGTCCTTTTTTAGATCACTGTTAATTCTTCCATAAGTGATCTGTTTTGTTTCCAAGGATAGGGGCCGAGTTTTTACAGCAAATCATGAGTCAAGTAGATGTGAAGAAAATGATTTGCAGCTTTGTTGCTTCCTACATTATTTGTACTTCCTTCACATTTTAATATGGGTACCAAGGATTAAAGGACCAGGAAGTGAGAATAGAATTAGTTGTAAAATTCTGAATTTAAAATATTTTCCTAGGTTGTCAGAGAGTATGAACGTGCTGTTGTATTTCGTCTGGGACGTATTCTGCCTAAGAAAGCAAAGGGACCAGGTGAATACACGCAGTTTTTCTCTGTTAAAGTCTTCTGGGTTTGTTTATGTTATTACAATGTGCTCAGATCACATAGAGAATTGCAGAGGTTCCATGAAATCCTTCTTCATAGCATAGAGGGGAATGAGGAGGTCCTCTCTAGTGCAGTTCTTTTACCTGCAGACTGTTTGTTTTCCTGAACGGAAGATACAGCTACCCTCCTGCCATAGCACAGAAGTTTGAGTACCTTGACACCAGGTATGACTTTGCTGTTGAATAATTTCCAAAACAGCTTGTTGCTGCCAGCTCCTTAGCTGTCCTCTGCTCTGAAAATGGTAAATGTGTCAGGGCAGGGACACTCAGCAGCTACAATGAGTCTGTAACAGCCCCCTAGGACCAGCTTACAAATCACAAACCAAACCCAGCTACAGGAGGAGTTTGCATTGGTGCAGTTAGCACCGCTGGGCAGCAAAATGGGAAAACTGGAAGTTGAAATAACAGGGAAAAGTTCTGTTCAGGTACTGTCCTTCCTCTTGAATAGCAGTCATGTGGTCCAAAGAGCAGCTAGGCCTGGTACAGGGCTCTTCTGTGTAGCTCTGGGCACCAAAGCAAGGTGCTGAAATTACAATAGAAGATTAGAAGTTTTGTCCAGTCTCCCCCTCCAGTGAAGGAGATTTGTGGGGACTTCTTCACAGGTTTTGTCACATCTTGGGACAATGTTCCTCATGTGGTGCAGGAATCTGGACCTGGGTGATGTATTTCCTGAGGACACGTACTGAACCATACATAGCTTGTGATTTAAAAAGGGAAAATTAAAGTCATGGAAGGAATTTTTGCCAAAAGTCTCATGGCAGACTTCAGACGAGTTTCAAGCTGCCCATTTCCAGACCAGAGTCCTAGGTCATTAAGCTCTAATGAGTTCACATTATTTTCAGATATCTGTACTTCCCTCTGCTATTTGGTACTTCCCTCTGCTATTTGAAAATGCAAATCACTGTTGTCATGTCTTGTAAGCAGAAAGACAGCTGCAATGATAAAACAGGGTGTTATCCCCCATCCTATAGGTATTTCCATCCATTTATTTTCTCTAGGATACATGGAGCTGGACTTCAGTTTCAGAGGTGTTTCATCTAATAATTTTTATTTTTCAGGAATGATCCTTGTACTTCCATGTACAGATACATTTATCAAGGTTGATCTTAGGACAGTTACCTGTAAGATTCCTCCACAAGAGGTAACTTCTCTGGCTGCCATCTAAGACAGGAAGAAAAGATGCAACAGTTTCATGGCACAATCAATATTTTGTAATTTTGCCACACTGAGCTACCATAGTATACCGTACTTAGCTGCTTTGCTGTATCTTCTGGATTTCAAGCTACTTACAAAACAACTTCTTACCCAAAGAAGTTATGAGTGCTCCAGTCCCTGGAAGTGTTCAAGGCCAGGTTGGAGGGGGCTCTGAGCAACCTGGTCTAAGGGAATGTGTGCCTGGCCATGGGAGGGGGGTGGAACTGAGTGACCTTTAAGGTTCCTTCCAACCCAGACCATTCTATGATTGTCCTAATGAAAATCTGAAGATGCATCATTGCAGGTCAAGCTGGTGTTCAGAAGTGTGATTTCAAAAATAAGGGAAGCGTGAATGAGAGACAGGGAGGACAAGAGAGGAGAGGGCTACAAAATTCCCAGTTTTAAATTAATATCCTAATAAAATTGGATCTGACATGGAGTTCCATCATTCAAAAGAGCCTTCTATATGTCTGAAAAGACAAAATACCCATGGGTAACAAATCCCATTAAATTAACAGGAATTAGCAGAAAATCTCCCACAAAACTCAGTTCCAAGCAGGAATGGATGGAGGAAGCAAGATACATCCAAGCAGGATATATCTTCAGGCATTTTTCTGGGAAATTTTGACTGAAAATTTTAATCTGAAGAGTCAGTTGTTGAGCAATCCTGTTCTGATCAAGTTTTAGTTCTGTGTGGCCTCAGCCCCATGGCAGAACAATTATTCTGCTTATGGAGTTGGCATTGCTGTCCCCTTCCTTAAACAAAGAGCAGAGGGAGAAGATGCAGCTCCAAGACCCTTTGGGTCCTCAGAATTTCCTACTGGATTCCCCAGGAGATGTTTTTTTGGCTATTACCTTTCTGTAAACAGAAAGAACCTTTTCTAAGACTACAGGGTGCAGGGGTGTGTGGTGTGAAATGAGAAATGCCTACCCCAAAATGTGAGGCTGGAAGGAAGATGGTTGCAGAACTTGTGTTGTCTAAGACTTAGCAGCTTTTGGCCAGGCTTCTGCAGCAGCTGGCAGGATTTTTGTGAAGCATTCACTTGCAGCCAAAAGATGCTGAGGAAGGAAGTTATAGTGGAGCATCATCAGTTCTCCACGGAGGCAGCTGCCCTCTGAAGCACAGGTAGCTTGTCTAAAAAAAGATGACAGCTCTTCTATGAATGTTTAAATATTTCTTTCAGTTTCTTCGCACAATTCCTTTTTGTTTTTGTTTGTGTTTCTTACAAATACGTTGTTTAGGGGAAATAGCACAGATCTTTCAAGCTGCATGAAATGTATAAACTCATTAATAGACCTTTCAACAAGACAGGAAGAGGATAGCCATAATTTATTATTGCAAAAGAAATTAATTCAAATTATGAGATTCACTTACTATTGAAGCAGTTTTTTTAGAGGGTATGTAAAGCATTTCCCCCCCAGTTTAAACTTTGTTGATGCTGGACAGCTCTCTTGAAGTAATTTCTTCAGGGAATGACAAAGAAATAAAAAAAATTTCTTAGTTTCTTTGAATGATCTGTGCCTTTTACTCACTAAGGGCTAAATATAATATTCCCCTTCCTAGGCAAAGGATGTGTTGTTGGATCTTTCTGTGACTGTGTGCATTTCTCAAATGCAGATTCTCACGAGAGATGCTGTTACTGCCCAGGTGGATGGGGTGGTGCACTACAGGATCCACAGTGCTGTCTGTGCTGTTGCCAACGTCACTGATGTCCACTCTGCCACCTTGCTCCTGGCACAGACAACCCTGAGAAATGTTCTGGGTACACAGAGCTTGGCTCAGCTCCTGGCAGGTCGAGAGGAGATTGCACACAGTGTCCAGGTAAACCTTTTGGCACTCGAAATTCACAAGCATGAAAATGTCTTCTGGGGGAGTAGCAAATTAGAAATAATCTCTTTTTCTTTACTCAACTAGGATAACAAAATTTCTCTTTATGGTTTTTTTTTTTTTTTCAATTATACATCTCGTTGCTTTGAGTCAGAAAGAGTTACTCTAAAGGTATTTCTCCAGGTTCTTGTAGAAAAATTTTCTCTATCAAAAAGCAATTAAAATTCTCAAATTATCCAGTGACTTTAAAAAATCATCTTAGCCCTTGCACAGAGGCAGCTGCAAGCATGCAGAAAGAGGACTGCTGCTTGGCTGCTTGTGGGAAGCGCTGTCTTCTCCTGTCACTACAACTAAGTACAAAATGGAGCTGCTGTATGCTTTAAAATGCCATCTGCTTTCTTTTTTTTCTTTTTTTTTTCTTTTTTTTGGCAGCCAGGGAGAGAAAAACCAAAACCCAATTTACTAATTTCAGTCAGAGACAAGGCATAGTCAGATGAAAGAGAGACTACCCTCTGCAGCCAGGAGAGTGGCCATGCAGTACTTTTACCATGCTGTGCTGTTTAAGGAAGTTGCTCTAGTGTTTCTTTGTGAACAGGAGTAGTTCAGTAAGTGCCCACCTCAGGAAAGGATGGGGATCATAATTTAGGAGGCAGGAGACACTGGTTTTGACCAGCAAGTGTTTCCTGAGGCTGTGGTACCCACTGTACACACACCATGCTGGGTGCTGGTGCTCCTGGAGCATCCCTGCTGTGCAGGTGTGCCCTGTCCTTCTGTCCAAGCAGAGTACACCACATTGCTTTCTCTCTGCCAGCACTGTTGTGCTCTTCCTGTGTTGTTTGTCCCCAAGGCTACCCTTGGCAGTGCCACGGAGCAGTGGGGAGTCAAAGTGGGCCGTGTGGAGATCAAAGACATCCGGATCCCCGTGGCCATGCAGAGGGCAATGGCAGCTGAAGCAGAGGCTGCTCGAGAGACAAAAGCTAAGGTGAGACCCATGACAGAGTCCACCTCCAGGCTTTCATTTCCTTGTCATAGAACCACTGAATTGCTTAGGATGGACAAGACCTCCCAGATCACCAAATCCAACTCTTAAACCCAACTCTGCTGAGTCCACCACTAAACTATGTCCCTGAACACCACATCTACATACCCTTTAAATGACCACCAGGGTTAATGACTTCACCACTTCCCTGGGCATCCTCTTCCAATGCTTGACAACCTAATTTTTCTCCTAATATCGGATGTGAACCTCCCCTGGGGCAACTTAAAGGCTATTTCCTCTTGTCCTGTAGTTCCAGGTGTCCAAGCTAGTTTGTTTTCTCTCCATTATAAACCTGTATTTTCACCACTATGGGCAGCATTTCCACTCCATTTCCATTTCTGTTCCTTTGCAGGTTGTGGCAGCTGAAGGAGAAATGAATGCTTCCAAAGCTCTCCAGAAGGCCTCCATGGTGCTGTCTGAGTCTCCAGCAGCTCTACCCCTGCGTTACCTGCAAACATTAACAGCTGTGGCAGCACAGAATAATTCCACCATTGTCTTCCCTCTCCCCATAAATATGTCTGGAGGTTTGGGGCAGAAAAGTACAGGGGGATAGAGAATGTTCTATGCTAGCTCCTAGACCAGAGATATTTAAAGGTTTTCCTAGGAACCAATCCCTAGGATCCTAGGGGTCCTGATTGGCAGAGTTAAAGTAGAAGCACGTTTGGGTCCTCTGTCCCCAAAATAAGAGTAAAGTAAGTATAATAATTATGCACAGCTCCCACGTTGAGACTGCATTTGCAAAGTTTAGACACCAAGCAGTTCCAGCTTAGACTCACCTGGAAGAAAATATATAAAATGGACATTAGAGCTAATATAAAATTTTAATGATGCTTTCACCACACTTTAGAGTTTCGAGTGTTGCAATTATTTGATGATTTGTCTGCTAGGCAAGAACCTCTGAGTTGTTGAAGGGTCAGATGTTATTTAACTCATGCCCTGTGGAGTGGAAAGAAAGGATTTGGCTCTAAACCTTAGAGGTATTCTTTCATAAATATTGGCATAATTACTGGGTAATGGGTATGTCAGTGGAACAGCCTATTCTTTATCTTACATTAATAGAAATTAATACTTGCTTTATTGACTTCAGCCGTATTTTGCCATATCACTGACTTTCATATAAGCTGTGTAATAAAGTAAAGAGAATGTATGACCAGGCATTAAAATCACATTTCATAAATGTGAAAGCTGGGGCAAACCTCAAAGTCATCTGTCAATTTAAGTGTCTGTCTTACACCCTCAGAAGGTTTCTTTGCATACGCCATGAAGTTACATATTTACATATTCAGCTTTTCCTGAAATGAGCCTTCCCTACCCTCCATCCATGCAGTGCTTGACAGCTGAGAGGAAGATGTTGCTGATATTCAGGTTCAGCTGATGCTAAATTTGACTTTGCAGTCTTCAGAGATAGCTGTTCAGTTCACAGTTTGTCTTGGCCACATGAGCACCACTGTTGCCCTTTGTAGCAGTAGGGTCCTTTGACTCCAAATTAACCACCCCTGTACTGACCTACTACTTATCATGTCATTGACAAAGGCCCTTCTTATTTTACCACAGTGTAGCACAAGCAGTCCAGGTGGTAAATGTTTGTGCTCAGTCACTGCTGGCACAAATAATGCTATGAGCATCTGAGGATGGTGACCTACCCATTTCTTCTTTGCTTCAGACATGACTGCCAAATGGCATTTTGCTGGCAAGCTAAAGTAGGAAAAACTGGTAGTTGAAAATCATCAGCTGATCAGTGTTACCAAAACATTTTCCACAGACTTTTCTTTATCCTAAGAAAAGAGCAATTTTGAGTTAAAACCCTAGAAAAAGAAAAGCTTGAAAGACATGTGGCTACAGAGTGCAATTAAAAGCAATTCTGTGCCCTCAGAGATCTCCCAGCCTAAGAAGCCCGTGGAAGGCTCCCAAGTCCAGCACAGGACATGCTCAGTGTACCACTTCCAGTTCCATCTTTAGAAGTGTATGGAATCCAGCCATGGATTGGTCATGGGGTCAGCAGGACTCACAATTACAACCAGAAACCAGCTGATGTGTTGAAGCATGAGTGTTAGTATCTCTTCTCTTTGAGCAGCAGTGTAAATACAGGTAAGCACATGAACACCCAATTTTCTTTTTGACCCACAAAAATGTCTTGGCCTTTTTTCAAATAATTTTTTTCTTGCCCAGGGCTGCAGGTATTAATCAGGCAATGCACAATGTGTTTTTCTTTTGACTCTCTGCAGGATAATTACACTTTTGTATAATATCTCAAGGAGACAAAAACTCCTGCTCTCTCTTCCCCAGTGTCAGGTACAATAAACACAATAACTAGTAGTGGAACTGCATTTTTCTTGTATTACCCACATACACATCCACAAGAGGATACTCTAATCAGTGAAACAGCAATGCAAGCAGCCCTGCAATGTTCCAGGTGCCACTGGGATGCACAGGCTTTGCAGGAGGGATTCTGGCAGAAGGCGAGCTGCAGTCCCACAGAGAGATGTGGAAGTCAGAGCCATCTTTCAGACATGGCACAGGCTGTCAGAGGTGCTCAGGAAGTCCTGCAGGTGGGCACAGCTCTGCCGGCGCAGAGTGCTGCGGCACTCACTGTCCTCTGGAATTTTCTCCACCCAGGCTTGTGCATCAAGTAAGTATTGCATCCTGAGTGAAGATGGGACAGGTAAAGGTTAGTTGTTATTCCTGACATGGAGCCATGGGAGACCGTAATCCCTGAGCTGCTGCATCCTCCACAGAGACATCTGAAAGCAAGAGTTATACTGGCCAAGAAACTTGCCTGAAACTTGCTTTCACCAGCAGGTTAACTGAGCTTTGAGCAAAGTCTGGGAAGTATCAGCGCCAAGCTGGGACAGACCTAGCTGAGTACGTCAGGTAAACTTGGGCCAAGTTTCTGTCAGAGTTTCCAAAATTACACAAAAGACCCAAGTGCACACCTGTGGGACAGTGAGGGGAAGTTGAGTTCCAACAGAGTATCCCAAAATGTTTCATAATTTTCTGTAATGAGAAACTTCCAGTAACTTCCAGTATTTCATGCCTGAACTGGAGAAGACTTTGGAGATTGAACAGCTGGCGGGACACCTCAGTCTAGCAGGCTTCTTTAGAAGCAGGCCACCGGCCTAGGCACTCACTTTGGTGTCACATAGAGATGGGAATGGAACTTTTTAAGGTTTTAGGAAGTGGTGCTCACAGTTTGATGGAGATGTCCTCCCTAGAATCTTTTAGAGGCATTACCTTTCTCCAGTTCTGTGCAGAGAAATGAAACATTTAGGATGTCTTCCTCCCTGAATATTTGATGGTGTCATACTAAATTCCTAATCCAATAAATTCCCTTTTTTCATTAGTGTGACAGTGAGAAATGAGAAGACTATGCTACTCGCATGCATGAGGTAACAGCAACCTTGGGAGCTGCTCTTAGTCATGGTCCCACACATTTCTTCTGCAAACACTGGAGCTCTTTAAGGTATCTGCAGTAGATGGACTGGGTAGGTTTTCCCATTCTCCTTTTCCAGCTGTGATTTTTTAACCCAGGGGAACCAGGGCCAGATTTGATTCTGAGAAGTGTGGGAACCACAGATCTATGAGCCAATAGATTTGACTGGCTTGTTTCTTCCACACATCTCCCCTTTTGCCTTTGAAGTGGAACACTTTGCATTTTAGTAAATGCAGCAGAATCAGTCCCTGAGAAATTTGGTGCTGCCTTTACTTTCTGGAGGTATTCTAATAATTGAGCATCCTCTGGGTTTATGCTCCACAATAGCAGGAGCTGCTGCTCTCCAGAGGCCATTTCACACTTACTTCTTGTTGCAATCAACTGTTTGCCCATCTCTCCCCATGAGGAGGTAGCGTTTGCCAGGGACAATGTTCAACTTGCACATGGAGCGAGACAGGAACTGTCGGTGCTCGCCCACTTGGATGCTTTCATCCGCAGCTGTGGGACAAGAAGAGAAAACCTCATGAACTTTTCTAACAAAGGGAAGAACTGCAGCCCACAGGACACAACTCCCCTTGATCATTTGCCCCAGTGCTAAGTCAAGGTAATATTTCACTTGGGAATTGGGGCTTGACATGTGAATAAATGGCTGTGCTGTGGTAGGATGTATTTCCTTTAGTAAGCAAGCCACTTTTGCCTCAGCTGGTTGTCCTGGCCTTTGCAGTAGTTATTGAAGGAAATGTTTTCCTATAGACCTGAGGACCTTTCAGACCTTATGGAGTTTGCTTAAATCTCAGAGATGAAGGAAAAGCCAAGGAAAATAGAAAACATGCTATCTTCCATTTCAGAATGTTCAGGTTCAGGGTGGGCTTAAAAGCTAAACTAAATTCAAACATTTTGAGGCTCAACAATGCAGCAGACAGTATCAAAATCTCACTCTCCTTAGTACACCTGACCTGAATGTTACTGATGCAGCCTTTATGCTATTCCTTCTGAATCTGATACACAGGACAATCTCCTGGTGATCTCAATATTAAAGTAACTTAGAAGATTCTGGTCTGGATTCTGGCCCAGTTCATTCATTCAGAATTGCACTGCCCACTATAGAAGTGGGTATCCAAGGCAGATGAGGTGGCTGCTCAGCTATTACAATGACATGATAGCTTAAAAGATGTTTATTCATCTGACCAATCTCAGCCCATGAGGACACTATGTTGCTTAAGTAGAACAAGAGTTTTCAAAGTCCATTTGAACATTAAAAAAAAAAAAAAAAGCAAATAACAGCAATATTCTAATTTCTTACTCTCTTTCTAACTATAATTTGAAATTTCCTGAAGAAATTCGATATTAAACCAGTTTAAATTACAGGTCAATTATACCACAGTCACATTTTTATCAGTTAACAGAATCTCATGCAGCATCTTCTCTAATATGGAGCATTATATTACAAGTATGGAAAGACTAGTCCTCAAAATCCTAAAAGTAGAATAAAAAAACTGAAGTAGAATTTTCTAACATTAATTGGATTTCAGAGAATTTGACATATACTGCCAATCTGTGAAACCTAGCTTTAAGAACCTTATCTATCACCTAGTTAAAACTTGCATCAGTTTAATATATGTTACTTAAGTTACATCTGCACGTCCTGTAGGTTTTCTCATATATCCCAAGAGCTTTTTGCTGTTCCTATGCTACATGGTGTCCTGAATTTTCATTTGTTCATGGATTGCAGAGATGGGTCAGAACTACTTGAGAAAATGATGATGTTATGCCTCATTGAGGTTAAATTACCAAGGTGTTTTTCGGTTCATATGCTTCACAAATGGCCTAATACAACTCAGACAGTGGGATCATACATAAGCATTTGAGTCATTACCTTAAATGGTTATTATGTAATTTTCAATTTTAAATCTCCAATTAAAAAAAAAAAAAACAACAATTTAAATTTAATGTTTCAAAGCATCCAAGCAGAATTTAAGGAAAACAATTACTTCAAGTTTTGTAACATGTAATGTGAAATAATGTTTAAAAAGGGCCAGGGGAGGGAAAGAAGAGGAAAGGAAAAGATTCTGTGCTACTTGACATGGACTATACTGCTCCCCTAAAGGACTCCTGGAGGACTCATAGGACAGCATAAATATTAGCCATCCAGAACATATACAGTAATTGCATCAATAACCAAATTAATCTGAGAAGCACACACCTGCAAGATTCTCTTTTGCTGACTCCCAAACACAAGTAAGTGTTTCCATCTGTCTCTGAACCAACCCCTCACTTCAAAGATTGTTAGGGAAATAATAATAGGGTTCAGGGAAGGAGATTTTACCCTACTAATTCTTATCTAAACTTGGTGATGGCAACAGAGGCCAACCTCACTCAAAAGAGCCACAGAGAATACAAGAGATAATAACACCAGATAATAACATCAGACACAGGCTGATTTGAGTTTTTCTTCATCCTTATTTCCTAGCTTTTTCTTCATCCTCATATGGCTTCATGCCTCCTGCCAGCCTTTGCCAAGCCTGCTGAAAGCTTCCTGATGCTCAGAAGGTGCATCTGAAAGCCCAAACCAAAAAGAACTATCAAGATATCCTTTCCCTTCAATTTCACATTCAAAGGATGTTTCAGCTACCAAAACCCAAAATCTTTCCAGTGCTTTCCTGCAAGTTGTGAGTACAAATGCATTTGGACCCAGAGCCCCAAAGCCTTTAAATCCTATAGGTATTCTCAAGAGATTAATAAAACTTTCCATCAGGATACCATAATCTCAGTATTTTGACCATTGGGCACACTATCATTTCCTTCCACATGGAAAAGCCTGGGTATTTCAGATGCTCTCTGGCTTCAGGAAGCATGGACCTTATTTTCCTACAGGAACACTGGGCACAGATCACGAGCTGTGTGCCATAAAGTACTGTGTGACATTGCCAGGCCCCTTGGCAAAGACTGATGGAGTGAATTAATTATTCTGTTCCAGAGAAGGAAGACTTCAAAACCTTTGAAGTTCCTTTTTAAAGGCAATCTCTGGCTGCCAAACTCAAAACTGGTGACCACATGATATCACAGCAGCTGAAGTCTGACAGTGTCATCCAACAGCTTCCCCAGAAATTACTCTGAAGAGTATCCATGCTTTCTGATGCTGCTGATTAAGTTCACTTGGGGGCAGCTGGGATGTCAGGCATGAAAAAGGACATTGTCTACAAGCTGTGTAAACCTTTACACTGCACCTAACAACAAAGAAGCCTTTCTATTTCTTTCTAT